CTGAGCCAATTGTACAACATAGTCATTCAGAAAAACAGTCAGAGGATATACTTTGTATTTCTGAAGGCGAGTCATCTAAGATAAATGAAAGCAAAACAGAAGCGAAATGTTCTTTGACACCAAAAACATCACATTCGGAGAAAATTGTAGCCGCTGTCGTGAATCCGTATGTACAATCAATCCTCGACACAAACGAAACTGACGAGGTACTTAGTATCTCCTTAGAGGACAACATTCCTAAATAGATGATATAATTTTATAACATAGCGGATACGTATTGCAAATTTATATGTACATACGTATTATTATGTACGTATAAACTTACAGTATAAGAATTTATAACGTAGGTTTTCCAAAAAATCATTTTTATTTGCTGCGTTTTCTTATTATGTTTACATAAGTATGTAATACATATTTAGCGAAAAAAGCTGTAGATAATGTATGGCAAAAGTTTAATTTTTTTTCCCTTTTATAAGCGACACAAATATGCCGCGTTTCTTATAAATTTACTACATGTTGCTACTATGATACATGTCACACCAAATAAACAACCAAAGATTAATTTCTTTAGCTGAACTACATTTTTATATCTAATAATAACTCGTTTATAATATCGAATGATAATTACTGTTCTATCTTGAATGATAATTATTGTTCTATTTTGAATGATAATTAATGTTCATGATTTTTTTAAATTATCGTCCGATTAAAACAATCTTTCGAGTTATTTTGCTTTCAATTTGAGAGAACTAAATTTTTCTTTGTTCAAACAACATTATTACAATTATATATTATTCATAAAATTTTTTTGATCAATATAATAAGCTAACTAAAGTATTATTTCTTTGATATACATGTTTGGCAACTATAATCAAATATTTTAGAGTATTTGGATGTTCAATACCATTTCTTAAGAAGTGAAATATTTATGCAATTATTTTTTTTTCCATGAAATGCACGATTCTTTAAAAACATAACATCTACAAATTATTTTCAATATACAAAACAATAGTATTAAATGTGATGATTGTATGCAACTTGAAGTTTCTTTGAGCATTGTAAGAAAATTGTAAAGTGATTATCCAAAACGTAATTGTAAAAAAAAAGAAAAGCTGCTTTTTGTGTCGTTATTATGTTGTGTACATTTTCCTATATATTGAAACTGTATACATAAATACTGAATCAAATGTGAATTGTGACTTCATTTTGCATCCTATGCCATGTATTGCAATTCCTTTATTTCTGCCTACAGTTCTTTATTAATATGTATAACATTATGATTATAGTAGATGACAAGCAAAGCTGTAATCTGTATAAATTGTAATTGTATTCTACTAAAATATATTTTTCTAATAAACATTTCAAGATATTCTGCCGCGTTTTATAATTATCCGCATTTATATAATTTGTAATTTATAAACACATGAAATTTCATCATTTATTTTTATTTTTATCTTTGTAAAATATTTTGTTACAGCGCTGTAGTATATACTGGATTTTTCTTCGAAGAATATATAAATTATTTCTCGAATTGTGTTCTTTTAACTTCAGAAGTCAATCTTCAAATTCCTTTTTTTACGACTGCGTGCTTTGGCTTTATTAATTTAAAGAACTTTTATTAATGATTCTCAATTATGTACAAATACAAAATACTTCTTTTAATTATATATATAATTAATATTACTAAGTATATTTAATTACATACAAATGATATCAGTAATAATTATATGTAATATATATAAAAAATATATATATATAATATAGCATGTAAATATACATTTTTTACTTTAAAAAAATTCATATTAATAGATAGGTGCAATACATTGTATAAAAAAAAATATAAAAACAATTCAATCAATGTTAAAATACGTAACAAAAATATTAGATTTAATCAATTTGCTTCGTATTTTAAAGTCACCCTTTCGTTTAGCGATCATTAAATTCCTTTTGATAGTTGCATTGTAATTGTCACGTTTCTCCTTGGCGAGGAATTCGCGCGCGAGTTCGACTTCATCCTCTAGGGTCCATTGTAGGGGACCCCGGCATCGTCTGCACCGTCCCAAATAAGCTCTATCTTTAGCCTCGAGAAGTTTACGTTGAATGGGATACGGCAGCGGACCGATGTCCTGTACGCAAAATTTCACTCCTGGTCCACCGCTGCCCAGAACGACATTCATCAAGGATGACGCAAACGGCGGCTTTCGCATATCATAGCGTTTCTCAGGATCCTGATCCTTCTCCTCGCAACAGAATCCATATGGTTTCTGCGGCAGCCACGAGCGTGGTAATTTTGTGAGACTATATTTACTCAGCACTTTTCTCATATTGCCTTTCAATCGATCGTAAATTTAAGAAATACTTTCTAAGGAATTATTTATTCACCAATTAAGAGATTACTTATCATAATATATATTATAAGTATACTTTCAATATTTCAGTAAATTCCATGATGTAAGAAGTTTTCTTACATCATGATTAATACTTTTTATCATTCGTTGTCAAAATGAAACAATTGAGAAATTTCATTAGTAAAAAACAATAATAAATAATTATAATCATAATAATACATAATAAAATAATAAATAATAATAATCATATAATTAATCATATTGTTGGAGATTTTTATATAATCGATCTCTTCAATTGAGACTTAAATCATTTATTGTTAAAATTAAAAGAAAACAACTGATACAATTTTATGCTAAAAAGTTAGTGAAAAATTTAATTATATGCTGGAGAGTGGAGAACAATATAATTCTTATAAGAATGGATTATGAGGGTGAAATTTACCCCTATCATCTATTTTTCACCAATCATGTTCGATGTTAAAACATCGGTGTTTATATGAGGATTTGGATTTAAACGATGCCCGGTTCTAGATCTCAGCCCTCATCACTTATCACTCATGTTCTGAGACTTCGAGGTAAAAATTAGGTTAGGTATTTATAATGTTTAACATTGTGCGTGATTGTGCGTGATTGTGCGACGATGATAGCATGTGATCGATTATTGTAGGACTCGCAGACCGAATTATGAATTCATCTACCCTGTCGACGAGCACTTTAGGGCACTCGACGGGACAGAGAACGCCAGAATCCCAGGACTCGGAACTGACCTCAAGCGCGACTCAAACATCCAAGATCCTGAATCAAATGAAATCTGAATTACAAGAGCAGAAGCAGCGCAAACGATTCCTCAAAGAACTTCATACAAAACGCGTACAATCCCTGCGAAAGGAACTGGACTATCTCAAAGCGACAGAGTGGAGATATCAATCCATAGATCGGTAAATATTGTGTTTTTTCTGTCCTTAGTATTTTTAATTTTTTGTTGCTTGGTTGCTTCATTGATGATTTCATTTTTCTTATATACATTTCTACTTATATTATTTAGATAGAAAGTACTTAGGATGGTTTTCAACAAAACATGATACAACATAACATGTTATCTTTATTTAACATCAAACAACAAGGATATAATGATTTCCTGTGTTACACTGTATCTATTAACAAAGTAAAATATAAATATTTCAAATAATTAAGTACATGTTATAGTCAATAATGATATTGTTACATTGTTTAACAGAGAATAGATATATATTATTTTATTGTAAAGTTATACCATATCAGTGCATTAGATACTAAAGCTTTTACTGCATTCTGTTATTCACTACTAAATATACAACTTGTTAGGTTGCTATTTTATTTGTGTTTTTATTGTACAACAAAAACTCATAAATAAGATAGTAACCTTATACGATAGGTTTTTAATATTTGCAATGAATAACGGAATACAGCCTTTAAATTTCACTAATCCAATACAAGTGATTGAATTTATCACATACCTCTCGCTGGAAAGTATCCCTAGACCATGTTCACTTGATGCTTGCGATGTTCTTGAAATCATTTCTCTCTCTTTGTTGTTTATCAAATATTAGACAAAGATAAATGATGCTCATGAGTATTATGATTATTTGAAATATCTAAACTATCTTTTATGTTTATAGATACTTAGATAGGAGCCAGAGGAATTAAAGATGTTGTCGTTAATGTATAACGGGATTCAATATGCTATGAGCTATGTGTATTCAAATGAGACTGCAAAGAATACAGATGAAGAAATAAATGAAGTTATATCTCGTATAGAGCTCGCAAGTAAGACTAATACGGATAAAACTGAAAAGAAAGAAGAAGCACTGAACGAAGAAGGATGTTATTACAAGACGGGAAGTATTACCCAGATCTCTACAGATTGCATCCTTATAGATGATTCCTATACATATGATATAATCGATGACTCGACTAATAATCTCAAAGTAGGTGATAAGATTTACTACCTGTTGTATCTGCGGGATCCAAATGCAAAGCCAAAAGTACGAAAAATTATCTGTGTAACAGATGACGACTGGAATAATGAAAACATTAATGTGAAAAACGATGTCCACACTTATATGACATCAAGGAATATAGTTGTTAAAGTGACAAAACGCGAAGGTCGAATCACCATTGTCGAACCAAATAATATTCGCGTTGATTTGTGCACAGTGCGATCCGACTTCATTCCCCTAATTGGTGATTGGTTGGTATTAGACTGTTTAGTCGAATTGAACAATGAATCTGAAGATTGGATGGGCGAAATCTTAGAGATTAATGGAATCAAACCGTTGCGATCTCAATTAAATTGTGGTGTAATATCAAAGTACAATCCAGAGAACAAGGTGGGAGTAATTAATAATAATATAATTTTTTATAAACGCTTGTGTGATGTGGGTTACATTCCCTGCGTTGGTGACAAAGTAGTGACTGAAAGCATAGAAAGTGATCAAGGACAGTACAAATGGAGATCGTTGACTGTAATTCCATTAATACAGGTAAGATTTTAGTTATTGCATGGTATGATATTATTATATAATTTCTAAATATTTATCTTGTTTTTTTTTTTCTTATTTTAGGTTCCAAAAAATGTAATTGAATTAACAACAAACAATATTCCTCCTTCCATATTAGATACCGAATTATTAAAAAATAAATATGGTATTGTCATAGACGACAAATTAGAATTCAATTTGGGCATAGGAGAAGAGGGTACTCTGGAGGTTTTGATACAAAATAATGCCAGTTATGCTCATTTATTGCAAAGTAGTTCCTTTGTGCCACAGAAGACTCCATCTCAGTTGTCACTAGAATCACCGATATGTACAAATATTAGCACAGTGATAAATCCTTCAGAAAGCGTTACTTACACATTCAAATGCAAACCACAATTTATTGGTATGTCCGAGGAACAATTTATCTTTAATTTCAAAGACTTTAAGATAGCTAGAGTGTTTCATATAAATATTAATACAAAGAACATTTCACAAAAATTCAATTCCGCATCTAATCAACAAAAGAAGGAGAAATTTTGTTTACCTGACTTGAATGAGTTAATTGAAACTACATGTATCCCTGGAGTAAGACCATCTAAACCACCTGCATTTATCAAAATACGCAATGGAATCTTCAAAATACCACGATACATTTGGAATACAGTCTATGATATTATGCAGAATAAACTGTCACAGACAGAACGCGAAATCGTTATTGGAGATCGGATACCTTGTCTTCAAACAGACCTTTCCTTTGAGAGATATAAAGATCGTTTTCATATTTTATTGTTTCTGGAAGAAATAGGTCTAACAATATATGTACAAAGATACAACATGAAAAGTGCGATTCTGCGACGATGCGGTGATTATCTTATGCTTGAAGTGCCAGGATTAGCAGAAAAACGACCTTCCCTCATGGTTGGTGATAAAGTTTTAGTATCTTTTCAGTGGGATAGCTCTAAAGGTAATATTTATAAGAAAAAAGTTTAAAAACATATTTTTATATTATATTATATTTATACACATAGTCACTACGAAAATTGTACAATATATTATATTTATTAAAAGTTTAGCAATATGATACTTATTGGAAAGAGCGGATAGATATTTATGACTATTGGATAAAATGTAATAAAGTAGGAAGAGGACAAGCCATAATCTTGTGCGCTGCACACTTGCGAAGAAACATCTAATGCCACAAATATCTCCACTCCTAATAAATATCATGTATTGCTGAACTTTTATAGTTATCTAAACAAAATGTTTTAAAACTAATTTCGGAATATTGAAATATTAATAATTATATATATATATATTTCTAATATGTTTTGTGTAATAGAAAACCTAAAATACGAAGGCTTTATTCACAAAATGAAAAGCACAGAAATCTTTTTGAAATTTAACCAAAAGTTTCATCATGAATACAATGGCGAGGATTGTCAAGTGTCATTTATGATGTCGAATGCTTCTTTTCAACGTTGTCACAATGCTATTAATTTAGCTCTCAACCGTCTTGGACCTGATATTTTATTTCCTACCCGAGTAGTGCAAAAAGAGCCACAATTCTATTTAGAAGAAAATGAAAACGAAGAAAAATCCATTGATGTGCAACTTCGTCACAATGAATCTATTTCTTCTAACAATTCCAGTTCCTCTATCACTTCTGTCAGTGATACTTCTAATAATACTATTAAAAGATTTCCAAGGATGTCAGTAGCGGATAGACTTTCCAATGTTAAATCAGTTAAATCAGTATTTAAAAATCCAATGTCACCTACTAGAATGAAAATGAATCCGAATTTTGAAATGAATTTGGCAAGTGCCAACGATGGCAAAATTAATATTGCTGATGCCACAATTTCCAGGACGCCAAATGGATCGATCACTCAAACTAATGATGAACTAAAACCATATATTATTCAAATAAAGAAACGAAAATTAAATTGGTTCAATAAAAAATTGAATTATTATCAAAAGGAAGCTGTGAAAAACATAATATTGGGATTAGCGCGTCCACTACCCTACGTTATATTTGGCCCGCCTGGAACAGGAAAGACAGTGACTATATGCGAGACAATCTTACAAATTTTAACCGTAATTCCCGAAAGTAGACTTCTTGTAGCAACGCCGTCGAACAGCTCGGCTAACTTAATAGCGGAACGCTTATTAGATAGTAACATACTTAAACCAGGTGATATGGTATGTTTTCGTTTTCTACTAATTTCTTGATTATTATACTAGAGTTTCTGATTTATTATAAAAACTTTTAACAAAATTTTCAACATAATTTCATATATTCGTTAATAAATAAATTCGTTAATCGAGAATTAAAAAAGAATATATGAATTATATTATGAATTATTAAATAGTTCCGTTTTCTCTGTATTTGTTCATTGTATGCCGTAGGTTCGACTGATAGCTTACCATTGCTTGAATAGCAATATTATACCTGAGGAACTATTGCCTTACTGTGCCACAGCGGAATTAGCTGAGGAAGGAACAGATGATCGTTTTTATCATCATAAAAACGGAATGAAAATGAACTGCACCATGTCCGTACTGGGTCGCCATAGAATTACTATCGGCACTTGCAACATATTGGGAGTATTGCACAACATGGGTTTTCCTCGTGGTCATTTCTCGCATATTCTAGTCGACGAGGCGGGTCAAGCGACTGAGCCAGAGATCATGATTCCCTTAAATTTTATTCATTCTGATTACGGTCAAGTGATACTCGCAGGCGATCCAATGCAACTTGGGCCTGTCGTGCAAAGCCAATTAGCGTCATTTTTTGGACTCGGTGTGTCATTCCTTTCAAGACTTTTACAACAATTTCCTTACCAAAGAGACCCTGACGGATTCGAGACCGGCTATGATCCCAGACTCGTTACGAAACTTGTAATGAACTATCGCAGCTTACCAGAAATACTGCATCTACCAAACATGCTATTTTATGAATCAGAATTACAGCCGCAAGTATGTATAACTATTGCTATTATGTCAAATTCTGATTTCTGTAAGTCAATTATAATTTGTATGTTTGCTATATTTAGTTGTCGTCTAAAAATAGTGAGGAAGCTAAACTATTGGAAATGTTGAGAGCAGAGCTGCCCGAGAAAGAGGGATCACCACCAGCCATAATCTTTCATGGGGTCAGTGGTGAGAACTATCAAGATTTTGAGAGTCCAAGCTGGTACAATCCCGAAGAAGCTGCACAAGTATATCTGTATTTGTCGAAGTTGTATAAATGTGGGCTTGAACCGGATGATATAGGAATTATAACTCCTTATTATAAACAGGTATACATGATGAGTATTTTAAGTAAAATTTTGTCATTTGTTAAAAGTCTTTCTTCCTTTTTTATGAAAATTATTTATATTAAGGTGGTGCAAATCCGAGATCTGTTGTTGGAGCTAAATCTTAAGTTACCAAAAATCAGCTCTGTGGAAGGATTTCAAGGTCAAGAAAGAAAAGTAATTATTATTTCGGCTGTCAGATCGTGTAATAATTTAGTTGATGAGGACCTCAAGCACTCCCTAGGCTTTGTTGCTTCACCCACTAGACTCAACGTCGCAATTACTCGTGCTCGCGCTTTACTTATTATCCTAGGAAATCCGAAATTACTCGTTTTAGATCCGTATTGGAGGAGCCTTCTGACATATTGTATTGATTGTGGTGGATATACGGGATGTAACTTTTCACTTTCGTAACAAATCTACAAAACACGTAAAAATATCTCATAACATTATGTAAAAATCATAGTATACTTAAATAATATTTAAGACATAATTATTATAACTATAACTATATTTATAAATAGTTATAATTCAATATTTCTTAATTAATATGCTGTTATTACAATCGAACTGCCAATTTCGAAATTCTATAACTATAAAATTATATAACAGCACTTTCTAAAGTCCTTGAATAAAATATTTTTATTTTTTGATACGTTCTATTAACAAAGACACGCACAAACACACGCACAAACACACACACACACATACACACAGGATACTCGATAAGATAACTTATAATGACTTCTAGTTAAACTAAAAATTTGATGTGTATATAAGGATAGGATACACACTACTCCCGAAAAATTTCATACATCGTAGCAAAATTCTTGAAGCTTTAAACCGTTGGACTTACCATAACACTGATTGTGAACTAAATCAAAGATTTTATCAAAACTAATACAATCGTAATTCGCAAATCATCGTTTTTGAAATATAATCAAATACCTATTTACTTAAATATACCTAAAATAATGAAAAACGGCAATGTCTGGAAATGGTAATATACAACAAATAAATGCGATGTTTTCTCTTATAAAATGTTATTGGTTGCTCATCATTTATTATAGTATAGTTTGACAATTCCAAGATACTGACAGCGAATAAAAATAAGTACATCTGATTCATGATGTCACTTATGCAGTATTTCTTTACATTTGGAAGCCTGATTACTGTTAATAATCAGAGGTGGAATATCTCTTTTGGGCACTACTCCTCCACGTTGTATCGAGTTGTCAGAAATCCAAGTTCCACGAATGATACTGAAACAAAAGTGAAATTGTTTTTAAAATTTATAAGCAAGAAAAGTACATTGTAGAATGTCACACTTTGTAATAATTACATGTAATGGTAAAAAGCAATATGAAAAAAAAACAAAACATTTTAGCTTAGTGTGATTGGCAAGAACAATAAATTCAACAAACGTGTATGTGTGGACAAACGTCAAAATAATATATTAAAAATTAGAAGTACAAAAATTAAAGATTGCATAAAATATATAAAAAAATCTGATTAGATATTAAATATACCTAGACACATAAATAAATTATTGTGTATACCATTACATACTTAACATTAATTTGTAATATGCATAACTTTACTTCACTTTTACTTTTCTCATGTCTACTGCAATATTTTTTTGCGTTAAATGAACCAAATGATATACGCGCAATACAATTGTGAATGATACTGACCTCTGTTAGTTCCACACTATACTTACTGGGTCTTGATTCTTCGCTTTTAGTTTTCTCTCAATTAGATTCTCTAATGCCTCGCTTCGTACACTCAATGTCTCAATCTTCTCAACCAATTGTTGATATGGAGACGCAGGCTGTCCTCCCATTACTACATGTCCCAACTTGCTGTCAATTTTGGCATCTAAACGTGCATTGCGAATTAAGTTCACAATCCAACACTCCGCAACATCCGCCTTCATATTTAGTTTCTCCGCAAGCATTCTATGAATATAAAAATTAAAAATAAATGTGTATATGTGTGGGTGTGTATGTAATGTGATTCTAAAAAGATATAATTAATGTATAACTAATAAAAAAATCATTAATTAAATCTTGTTTTTATAACCATGATGCAAAAAAATTACATACTGAATACTAATGCATTGATGAATTCTGCAGAATGTTTCGAAAATCATCAACCGTGCATTTTCCACAAATTCATTCAGTAGAGCGATTAGAAAGAAATCGTTAAAGACGACAGTCTGGCACTCTTGCAACTTCTGCCGAGCTCCATCAAAGTCAAAATTAACGTACAAATGTTCCAAAAATTCTGTGATGGGATCTCGATAAGTATAAGATTCCTATATACGTAAAAATAATATTTTTTTAAGATATATATAAAACATTTCAATAATACAATATAAAAAGTATCATTATTAGTTATAAATTTTTCAACAAATTTGAACCAATATTATTAAACTGATATTCACCTTTTTGAAAATTTTTTATTCTCTTAAATTAGATTAATTATCAACACTTAAAAAATTTGCACGAATTTTTATATCTTATAAAATAATGATTTCAAAATCTGACCTGTTGTATTACTTTTACAAGATCCTTCAGAATAGATCGCCTAGAACGATTGACAATAACTGCTGCAGCCAAGTAACGAAGTATATGTGGGCACATTGTTTGAATAGCATTTAAATAACTGCAAAAATGTATTAAACAGGTTACAATTTTATAATTTTCATAAATATCATTAACATTACATTAAAGTGGTTTTTTAAATTTACGTAATTACCTGTGTAAAGTGTTTTTTGACATTCCATTATACCTCAATTTTTATTCTCTTTAATGGTTTACAATTAAATAAAGACTAATATTCTATAGATATCCCATAGATAAAAATAAATGCATAAAAATTTTTTTAATTGTGAAACAATTTCCACTAAATATAGTAATATGTATAAATAGCAATCATTTGTTTAATGAATTTAAGGCTGAGGTATCCTGGACATCCCATACAAATATATGACAAATACTTTCTTAACAAATTGTACATACTGTGGTCGATAGAGAAACATCTCAATAATGAGATCTCTTCCCTTTACATGATTAAAGAATACAAATAAACTCCAGTGAATGAGCCATGTGCGTTGCTGTAATACTTGCAGCGAATTGCCAATAACATTACTGTCGATATATTCTCGCAACTTATTCACATCTTCCAATGCTGTTTCCCAATTTTGTACAAGAATCTCTGATGCCAATTTTCCCCATAAAACATTTAAATAGTTCTAAAAATTAAATATACAAATATTAAAATAGATAATTTCATAACATATTGTACTTAATTTTTATAATTATAAAAATTGATTTTACCTTATCAGTAGGGGGCATAATCAGCATATAGAAGTACAAATATGATGTAGAAACAGAATAATTACCACATTCATAACGATACTTTGCCAGCTTCACAAAGCTGTCCATCATTTCTACCCTAAACTGTACATACAAAACTACATCAATATATATTTTTAACATTTATAATATCTTGTTAGAATACTTAAATAAAAATTTCATTATTTAATATAGTAATAACTGTTCTACCTACATCTGATTCTTGAGTAAGATAATTATTAAGCGCTTTAGAATCACGCATGTTTTCCATTTTCTTCATAATTTCCTCATTATTCATAAGAGCAAGCACTACTGAAACATTATTTTGGAGTACGCCAAGCTCTTGTAATACATCAGCACGTCTGGATTTTATTTCCTGCAACATCGCTATGTTAATTCATCACTTAAATAAAATCATTATTTTCTTCACTACTATTGGTTGTGTCTGGATTGATTTTCATTATTTTTACAAGTATATAAAAATTATTAAGTGATTCTTACATATACATATTTTAACATCTTTAGAAAGTATTTATAAGATTAATTAAAAAAAAAGAAAAGAAAAGATTATTATATAGCTAAATATACCTAATATTAAAAAAAAGAAACATAGAACATGAATGACCCATTATGTGTACTAAGGAATAAACACAATCTGAATATGCAACAAGAAATTGAATCCATGATGATCAATTCTGTCACAACTCCGTAACAGTGACACACACGTTATATGAAACGCACCTCTGGTACTTCCACATTGGGATAAAGCTGTTTCCTGATATCGATGGTGTAGTCAATCATATTCGTCTTGCTGAGAATATCAAGTTTCGCGTGTAACAGCTCATCCTCGTCGTAAATCTGCAATGCAACACATGTGACATAACCAAACCGCAAGTGCCGCGACGTCGCGACGCCCGGCTCCATACCTGCTTCGCCGACAGAAATTCCAGCAAAGGAAACACCAAGTGGCGGTCCAAGTATTGACCTATGCGAGACGTTAAGTCGAATTTCGCCATTGCGCGGCGCCTTCGGTTTAACGTCAATTAATTCGTAAATGCCAAACCTGGCTCCGTACGCTCACCTTACCGTGATCGCGCTAAATGAAAGAACATTTTCACAACGTGGCGCTGAAAGATGTGAAGTTAGCAATAGTTTATAAGCAATCATCGCAGGTTTGCCATTCACCTAGGTAGAAACGAAAAGTCACTGAAAGAAAAAAACCGATTAATTTGACAATGAAAAAGGCAATCTAATAAAAAACATTTTATTTAGGTTGTCTTTTTTTTTAATTTGATATTATTCTTAATATTAATAATTATAAATTATATAAATAATTATTATAATATAATTAATTTTTTTTAGGAAGTTTCGTCGCGCTACGGTTGTCACTTTGATTAAAAAAAACATGATAATTGTAGCTGATTTCAATACAGTACATTCGGAAGAAAGCGAAGGTGGTAGTTATCGTTAAAATTTTTCGGACAGTTTTAGGCATCATCTGTCGCCGAGGTGAAGTACTCGAGTTGACAGAATGCCACCGAAAAAGCCGCCGGCGCCGAGCAAAAAAGCAGAGCAAAAGAAGAAGGAAAAAGTTATCGAGGTAGGAAACATTTTTGTGTCTAACCAAAAATTTTGAAATTCCACGTTTTATAGATAAATATATGAAACTATATAATAAATTTATACTATATTTTTTAATATACTTATGTATATCAAACTTAATTTATCTAAAATCTGAACCTTCTTTCTCTTTTAAGGATAAAACATTTGGTATAAAAAACAAGAAAGGTGCCAAGCAACAGAAGTTCATTCAGCAAGTTGAAAAGCAAGTGAAATCTGGTGGTGTAAATCCCCGCAAACTCGAGGATCCCAATGTTAAAAAATTGGAGAAGGAGAAGAAGCTAAAGGAGCAAAAGGAATTAGCTCTTATTTTTAAACCTGTTCAAGTGCAGAAGATCGATAAAGGTACTGAATATATTGACAACGATAGAAAGCTGTCAAATATCAAACATATCTTTAAATAAAAAAATACAACAAAATAATTTTTGCAGGCATAGATCCCAAGTCTGTTGTGTGTGCG